ACCCAGGTATCAACCTGACAACGCGCACAAAAACACGAGAGTAATACTGTTCAAGAAGAAATTTAACAAACAAAACAGGCTTGTGAAGAAGCAGCGCACCCATAACGCGCTACACGCGGACCCTCAGGCTGCTGGAGCGAGAGCTGAGCGGGAGTACGGGACGTCGGCCAGCAGGTCTCGGATGGCACCAAGCCGTGACTGAAGGCTGCCCTCGAGCGGCTCCAACTCCAGCATCTCTTCGGCTTTTCTTCGATCAGACGTAGGAGCGGCAGCTGCTCGTCCAGCTCAAGTGCCGCGCGGATGCCGTCCGCCTCCCGCAGGAGCCCGTGTAGCGTCGCCAAGATTCGGTCGCAGGCGCCAATCAATGGCGGGTGTAGCGGTAGGTCAAGGAGCTCGTTCGCAGCCCTGATTGTAGTCAGGATAGCAGGCTCCGCGGGGACGGGGATGCCAAGCACCATCTGGATGAGGCAGCTATTCTGCGCGAGACCGAGCGGCCAGCCCCGCGGATCGCTGCCCGGGAAGTGGATTCTGGTGCACACGGTGCGCGCCGGGGGGGTTGGTGGTGCCGGGGGGCGGGTGGTGCGCACGGCTCCGAGCGCGAGCAGCGCGTCGGCGCCGACTCGGAGCATGGCTGCTCGAGCGGCCGACGTGGAGTGTCGGCCCTGCGCGAGCGTGCGCGCTCCAGCAGCACGCCGACCAGCACGAGCGCCACTGCGTTTTGACGCAGGTGGCGATGTCCAGCAGCACGCTGCTTTCCTCGGTCCGCAGCACACTGCCGTAGACGGAGAGCCGGCCGAAGATGGCATCCGCCATGGGCGGCGAAAAGCCGGTGGGGGCCGGTGAGGCGGCGAGATTCGTTGCGAGATACGGTTCGCGCCCAAAACCAAGTTTGGACGCTCTGGGGACGCGCAGCAAACCAATTCATTGGAAAGGGGGCTACTGGGGGTGAACCTTCTTTTCTAGACCGGAAGGATTGAGAGCAGCCTCGCTCTCAATCCTAGAAGTCGAAGGATTGTGAGCAGCACTCCTCGCAATCGTAGCATCTCTGTGCGATTGCTAGCACCCACGCTCGCAATCCTACATCTTCTAGGACTAAGAGCAGCTCCGCTCCCAAGGTGACTGGTGACGCCTACGACTACTACCAGCGCGCTCGCAATCCGAGCAAAGTCTAGGATTGCGAGCAGCACTGCTCGCAATCCTAGCAACATGCCTCCGATTGCGAGCAGTAGCGCTCGCAATCCTACATCTTGTAGGACTATGAGCGGCGACGCGTACGAAGGCTACTATTG